AAAGCTGCAAACAGAACAGCCCCGCTGCCCGGGAGCCTGGCAGGGGCTGAGCTGCTGCACACAGCAGCCCCCAAAGCCCAGCATGGGCTCTCATCTCCTGGAAGCTTCTGGAGCTCCACACAGGGCTCACAGCCCCCCACAGCCCTGCGGGGAGAGCCAGGAGCTGCTCCTGGGGCTGCTCCCAGCCCTCCCAGCGCCAGCTCGGGGCTGCCCCAGCCCTTTGACACACAGGACTCTCCCCAGCTCACGGCTCTCCCTTCCCCTGCTGCCATCGAGCACAGCGAGCTGCCAAGCCCTAAAGCTTCTCCTCTGAGCCCAGCGCTCAATTTTCATCTGCCAAGGAGAGAAATGGCAACGTCTGCATTTCCCCCAGGAGCTGGGATCGCCCTGGCAAGGGCAGGGGAGGGAACGCTGCCCTCGAGGGAAGGGAACATGGGGAAGGGGAACACAGGAATGGTGCCCACAGAGATGCTGCCCACAGGGAAAGGGCCCACAGGAATGGTGCCTATGGAAATGGTGCCCATGGGGAAAGGGCCCATGGGAGTGCTGCCCACAGGAATGGTGCCCACTGGGAAAGGGCCCATAGGGAAAGGGCTCACCACAGGAATGCTGCCCATGAAAATGCTACCCATGGGAACACTGCCCACAGGGAAATGGCCCACGGGAGTGCTGCCCATGGGGAAAGGGACCACAGGAATGGTGCCCACAGGAGGAGTGCTGCCCATGGAAATGCTGCCCACAGGGAAAGGGCCCACAGGAGTGCTGCCCACAAGAGTGCTGCCCACAGACAAAGGGCCCACAGGGATGCTGCCCATGGAAATGCTGCCCACAGAGATGCTGCCCACAGGGAAAGGGCCCACGGGAGTGCTGCCCATAGGGAAAGGGCCCACGGGAGTGCTGCCCACAGAGAAAGGGCCCACAGGGATGCTGCCCATGGAAATGCTGCCCACAGGCAAAGGGCCCATGGCCACCAACCCTCCATCCCAACCCAACCCCACAGCAGGGGTGGCACCTGCCCACCTGAGGAGCACTCAGAGCTCGGATGCTGGAACCACAACTTCTGCCAGCCCAGCCCAGCCAGCCCCAGGGCAGCTGGGCTCAGACTGCTCCAGAACCAGCCAGCTCTCCCCTCTGCAGCAGGAAACCACGGGCAGCACAGGCAGGAACTCAAGCTCAGCTGTCACAGATGGCTCAGAACACCCAGCCCAGCTGCCTGCTCCTCACAGCCTCCCTTCTTCATTGTGGATGGAAGCCCCAGCTCCTGAGGGATCCCTTCCATCTCCATTCCAGGCTGGCACCAGCGATGGACAGCAGCCCCTCTCTTTGCCTCTCAACTGCACCGAGCACCTTCCTGAGAGCAACAGGAGCTCCCAGGAATTGGCACTCCAAGGAGATGCTGCTCCCTGGGCAGTGACAGAGAAACCTGGGAAACCTCCCTCCCCTGGGACCCCACAGCCTCCTCCGAGCTCATCCTCATTAACCCAGCTGTGGATCTCCACATCCAAACCTTCCCCAACTCCCAAAGCAGCAACTCCTGCCCTCTCTGCAGCCATGCCCACCTTTGGGAACGGTGACCTCCTGCCCTGGGATCCTGTCCCAGCAGGGCTCCAGCCTCCTGCTGCCTCTGCTGCTGCTGGGATGCAGCCCGTGGGCCCCAACACCCCGAGCACCTCACCCTCAGCTCCTGGCTCTGGCTCCCAGCTCCAGGGAGCTTCTGCCCCTCCTGTGGCCCAGGGAGCCTTGGCTGGGATGCTGCAGGTGAGCACAGGGAGAAGGAGCAAACCTGGTTCTGCAGCCCTGACCCCAGCAGCCAGCCCTGTCCCCAGGATTGATTCACCAGCCCTGACCCCAGCAGCCAACCCTGTCCTCAGAATTGATTTTCCAGCTGTGTCCCTAGCAGCCAGCCCTGTCCCCAAAGCTCCANTCCCTATTCTGTTATCCCTGAGGAAGCAACCAGGGTAAGCCAAATCTAGAGTTATTAGGTTATTTTTTATAAACACTCCATTCTAATTCCTTCCTCCAGCCAGAATTCCATCCTGTGATCTGTCCCCAAATCCCTTTAAGGCTCCTGAGGTGCCAGTTCTGTCCTCACATCTCTCAGGGAATTCATTGGCCTGTGCTGGAAGGAATGCTGCTCACTTGGGATCTACAGATCCGTTAAAATCTGTAAATCCCAAATGAGCAGTAGAGAAAATATCAGCACTGAGATTCGTCTGAAACAGCGGAGATAGAAGGGAAACTCTTTCTTTTCTTAGTTTTGTTAATCTGAAATTAACCTGATTGTAGAATGTCATTTATGTGCCTTTCTGAGGGCAATAATAACCTAGAAAGTCTATTAAGAGTATCTGCATTAACTTGGTATTATTATTATTATTATTATTATTATTATTATTATTATTATTATTATTATTATTATTATTAAACTGTTTTATCTTTAATGTATTTTATTTTATATAAATATATAAATTATATTTTATGTAATATATAAAATATTGAATATTTTATATTCAACATTTTATATTGAATATACTGAACTATTTCTAGCACTAAGCAGCCCTGCAAGCTCGGGCAGAGCAGTGAGAGTTTAAAACTTTGATTTTTAGTCACCAGCTATCCCCCTGTTGTCTCTGCAGGCACATGCACCAGCTGAGGAAGCTCAATGGCCTGGCCATCCTGAACTCCTCCATGAAATACGTGCAGAGCAGCTGAGCTCCTCAGAGCCCTGCCCAGTGCCCTCCATTCACTGCCCCTGAGTTTTCTTTGCTGTAATAAAATTCATTCAAAGCATATCAGCTTTTCAGTAGCTTTTTGGAGTGGTTTTGGTGCCCCACAGAAGCCAGTGAAGTAAAATCAGGAAGGAGTTAATTTATTATCTCAGCTACCAACCAAAATACCCCCTTGCATTAGGCTGCCTTTGCTTTAATAATTGGCATAAATTTAATAAACGACCATTAATACAGTGTAGCGCTTTTTTTGTTGGTTTTGAACACAGAAAACAGAAGAATTTATGACATTTCTGTGCAGAATAAACACAGGCCAGCCCGTTTGAGTATAAAATGGCTCTTTGGGTCCCCTCCTTGGCACTGGGGGTGGCAGTTCTGGGGGGAGCCTTTGTCCCCCCAAATTATCCAGCAACTTTTTCCAGAGAGAGAAAGAGCAGCTGGATCAGCTTCCCCTCGTGAGAAACACTGGGCTGGCACAGGGAGCTCCTGCTGGACCCCTGGCACAGCCTGGACAGTGGGGAAAATATTGTTCAATAACGAGAATATTGTTAAATAATGGAGAATATTGTTCAATAATGGAGAATATTGTTAAATAATGGGGAATATTGCCGAGTAATGGAGAATATTGTTGAATAATGGAGAATGTTGTTAAATAATGGGAAATATTGTTGACTAATAGAGAATATTGTTGAATAATGGAGAATGTTGTT